GAACACTGTGGAATTGATGGAATATATTGAGAAGGAAAAATTAGGCGTAGGTAAGGAGGTGGAGAAGGTAGAAGAAGAAGAACTCGATTATCGTGTAGTCGAGGATGAATCTCTTCAGGGTGAAAGTGTTGACGAATCTGAAAATGATGAGTCCACTGGTAACGAGGATTTGGATCTTCTGAGTGAAGATAACCACCAGGTAAGTATGAATGAGGATGAGGATGAGGACATGGAGGACGACAAGATTGTGCTTGCTGGAGCTCCCAAGAAGCTGGATACCGTGCGTGGTTCTGCCTACTCCAAGTATGCGTCTGCTGAGGTGGCTGTGAATATGAACATTGACTCGCCTGAGGAGATGTTGAATTTGACCAAGTTGAAGGATCTTGCTCAGCGCAAAAGAATGGAGTTCAATGCAAACCTGAAAGGTACTACTGGTGCTGGTGTAAACAGTGGTAGCAAGCTGGGTAACTCTGGTGGTGTTTCTTCTGGTACTGGTGCTAAGGGTAACAAGTCTGGTGTTGCTTCTGGTGTTGCTTCCGGTGGTGTTTCTGGTGGTGTTTCTGGTGTTGTCAAGAATAACAAGACTAATGGCCGTGCGCCTCTCAAGACTAAGCAAGACGCCCGTAGGGCTCAATGAGTACAAAATTAGGCATCAAGATTGGCTCCTTGAACACGCGTAGCTTGTTCATGCAGTCTAATCCTACAAATTTCAAAGAGTTTTCATCTTATCTTCGCTCCTCCTCTCTCCATCTGGATATCCTTTGCTTGCAAGAGGTATCTCATTTCCGCTCTCAATCTACTCTCACTGAATCTCAAGTCCGTTCCTTTTCTTTTGCTTTTCCTAATTGTTCTCTCGTTGTGTCCAAGCACTGTGCTATTATATGTCTTAATTCTCGTTATTCTTTGGTGGATACGGAGGTATTGTTGGATGAACGTTGTCTTGTTGCATCTGTCGTAGATGCCTCAAGCAATGTTTTGTGCAAAGTGGCCAATATTTATGGTCCCGCGCAGTCTTTTGACCGTCCTTCATTTATCTCTGATTTTCTCTCTCTTTCTGTTTGGTCTGATGTGTTCAACACACCTTGGATGGTTATGGGTGATTTCAACATTCACTTGCACTCTTTGTCTACTTCTCGTCAAGCCGATGTCGCTCCTTTTGTTCACTGGTTGCGTACTCACTTTGTCAATTGTCATCCGGATGGTCTAGCCACGTTTCCAAAGAGCAATACTTGTATTGATTACATCTTTGGTCACTCTTCTCTTGCTCCTCGTTTGACTAATAGTCAGTTACTATATATGCCTAGTAGGTGGACGGATCACTCTCTTTTGACTGTTGAAATGTTACCTGCGACAGCTAGTATTGGTCCTGGTAGTTGGCGGTTCAATCCAACTCTGCTTGATGACAAGGAATTTGTTGCGTTGTTGAATGCCACGGTGTCATTGTTCTTCTCTGGTGCTGTTGGTGGTGGGTCTAAGGGTGTCAATACTAGTCAAGGTAGTAGTGGTGACTCTGAAAGCACGGTGGCTAGATGGGAATCCTTCAAGTTGTTACTAAAGTGCTGTGCACAAAAGTACACTAGAAGCATGAAAGCACGATTCAAGAACAAAGTTTTTACGCTTCAACTGGAACGTATTAGGGCTCTGTCAACGTCTGTATCAGGTGTTGAGACTAGGAATGCTATTGATCAAACTGACAGAGTGTCTACTGCTACAGGTGATGCTGAGCAGCAGGTCAGGCAACTAGAAGTTTTGATTGAGAATCAGATACAGAAAGAGACTAGTCAGAATATGCTTCGCTCTGCCACTCGTTGGTTAGAACAGGGAGAACGTAGCAACAAGTATTTCTATCGTTCGATCAAGGTGCGAGAGTCTCAACAGACAATTCAATCCTTAAAGTGCTCTACTACTGGGGATATCTTGGTGGAAGCAGCAGCTATCAACAGGGAGGCACAAGGTTTTTACCAAAGGCTATATACCCCTGATGCTGTCGATGCTGAAGCTATCGATACTCTCCTGGGGAATGTTCCAACTGATGTACGTCTATCATCCTTGGATGGTGATATGCTAATGGAACTTCCAACTCGCGATGTTTTGTTGTCTTTGCTCACTCATGCTCCCAAGTCTAAAAGTCCTGGTCTTGACGGTTTGCCTTTTGAATTGTATCAATATCTTGCTGGTGTTTCAACTGATTTTCTTGACTTGCTTGTGGATGTGTTGGGTGCAGCTTTTTCTGGTGTGTTTCCTCCTTCGTGGCAACAAACTCGTATGGTCTTATTGTTCAAGAAGGGTGACCCTCAGTTGTTGGTTAACTGGAGACCTTTGTCCTTAATTAACAGTGATGCCAAGTTATTTACAAAGCTCATTGCTAATCGTATGAACAAAGTGTTGCCAAAGTTAATCAACCCTTATCAAACTGGTTTTCTCCCTCATCGTCTGATCTCTGACAATGGCTGGTTAAATCAGTTGTTGCTGTCTCACTTGCGTGTTGTTGCTCCTGATTTACCTCAAGTGGCTGTCTTGTTGGATCAAGAGAAGGCGTATGATCGGGTTCATCCTGAATATCTTTGTCGTGTGTTGCTCCGGTTTGGTTTTCCTGGTGAGTTGGTGTCTTGTCTGTCTTCTTTGTTCTTTGGAACCAAGATTTCAATGTCTATCAATGGTTGGCTTGGTGCTCCTGTACCTCAGTTGCGAGGTCTTCGTCAAGGTGATCCTCTGTCTCCATTGCTATTCAATCTGGCATTTGAGCCTTTGCTTCGTTCTCTCCTTGCTTGTCCTGGTCTTTCTGGTGTTACTCTGTCCCCTGTTAATATCCCACGTAAATGGAAGCCTTCACCGGTTGAAGTTCGTGTGGATCATGGTACTGGTTCCCGGAATTGGACTTTGGACTTTGTCAGTGGCTCTGTTGCTCCTCCTCCTGTCAAGATTCTAAGCTATGCGGATGATCTTGAGGTGTTTTTGTCTTCGCCAGAAGAGTGGTGTGTGTTGTTGTCTGTTCTTGATCTGTATGGCCGAGCATCTAATGCGAAAGTCAATATCAGCAAGACAGTGTTGGTGTCGTTGTCTGGTGTGTCACACTCTGCTTGGGTTGCTTTGGCTGATTCTACTGGTCTCCAGTGGCATGACGCTCACTCTCGTGGTGCAGTACGTTACTTGGGTTATCCCTTGTATCATACTGAAAGTCAACTTCAAGACTATCTTGATGGTGTCTTGGTGAAGGTCCAGCGACACAGTAACTTGTTGAAACAAAGGAATCTCTCCATTAGGGGAGCAGGACTAGTGGCTAACTCGTTACTGTTGTCAAAGGTATATCATTTGTTGCGTGTTGTTCCTGGTGGTGCTACTACTGCGTCGTGGTTGAAGTCTCTCACTACGGTGGTCCGTGAGTATCTGGTGTCCTTTCGCCCTGGTGTTGCTTGGTCTACTTTGTGTCTCCCCCGCAAGTTTGGTGGTGTTGGTCTCGTGGATATAGCAGATCAAAGCTTAGCTTTGCATCTTGTCTATTTGCAACGTTTGTTGCGTCCACCCTCTCCTAATGATTTTGTCTCCTCTTGGTTGGTGTATGCCTTTCAAGTTTACACTGGTCATAAGTCCATCTTGCCGTGGTTTTGTTTTCCTGGTCTTTACCAGTCTCGTGTGTCTTCTGTGCCTGTTCTAAAACATCTCGGAAAGCTTCTGTTGAGATTGCCAAAGTTAGTTCCTTCCTCTGGTTGGTCTGCTAGGTGGTTTCTTGATCTTCCCTTGTGTTCTGTACTCAGTACTGTGCCTTCTGTTCGTCCTCCTCGTGATCCATCATCTCTTGATCCTCGTTTCTTGGTGTCGGATGTCTCTTTCTGGCAACCTGATCTAGGTATAGTCGATGGTGCCACCTCTCATCTTGCTTGGTCATCTCGTGTTTTGCGCCCTGTTTTTCTTGCTTTGAACCGTGATCGTGGTCCTGTCTCGCTGGTATTCGCGCCTGTCATGGATAGTAAGATAGTCTTGTCTCAAGCAGACTATTTTACTATGCCCCGTTCTGATGGTGCTACCTCTTGGATGCCAGATTGTACTCATTGGACTGTCTCCAACTCGTCTCGTTCTGCTGCTCCGGTTGCTCGTCTCTCTCTTGGTGCTTTGCGAAGGTATTGGCACCCTGCAAAGGGTACCATTACCTCTCGTATGGGTCCTCCCTTGAAGTTGCCTGCCCATTTGTTGCTGTCTCCTGCTTTGTGGCGTCTTTTCTGGTCCCTGGAAATGCCTGCAAAGGCTTTCACACCTTGGTGGCGATTGCTACATGACCGTGTCCCGCACCGCTCGTGGTGTCATAAGATTATGCCTACAAAAGTTCTGTCTCCTGCTTGTGCTCTTTGTGGTTTTGCTACAGAGGACCTTTACCATTTCGTGGTGGGTTGCCATGTCAAGTCATTTTTCTGGCAGGATGTAGTCTCTTTGTTGTCACTTCAAGAGCTACTCCCCTCTGCTTCTTCTATTTGGTTGGCGCTGACTACCTTTTGTAGTGGTTCAGATTTGTTGGTGATCGATGAGGATGTTCTGATTGCTCTTGGTGCTGCTTACAGTACACTTTGGAAGTATCATTGGCGATGCGTCATAGACGAGGAGCCTTGGATAGCTTCTGCTGCTATCAACATGGTCCGTCAAGACCATGGTATACTCTTTTCTTCTCTTTCTTTGGCAAGTGTTCAAGCTGGCACCTTGGCCTTGCCTGTAAACTCTGTATAGATTATAAATTTAAAGCAAATAAAGATACACTTTAATACAAAAAAAAAAAAACTTTTTAAAAGTTTTCGATTACGCCATCTTTGAACAACGATATCTCGACAACTAGGATACATCCATCTTGCATCCAAGTATATTTAGATACATCCATTTCAGCTCTACAACATATCTTGATTTCAGATCGATTCAACAATTTTTCGTCGAATTCATCTTTTTCACTACTTTTTCAACAACGCGACTTAGTTACACTCTAGATTACAAGTTACACTCTACGTCTGTTACACTCCATGTCTTCCCAATCTGAATTGACTTGGGCTCAAAGAGCTTCACGTCAAAAGGTGGGTCGATTTCTCCAACCCAACAAGCGACGATTGGACAATCCAACTGATGTACCACTGGTGGGTATTGTTCTCTATGAAGATGATGACCTGAAGGGTCAAATTTTGGCAAGCAAGGCTATGGCGATTATTCAGCAATCCCTTTCTTCTGGTTCTGTTCTGTTCACGTTTCAGAAAACTTTGTTTCCTGATCGTGTTGCCGCTTACAAAGTGATTCAAGATCAAATCTCACCTGACGTGGAATTTCGACCTCTTAGTTTGTATGATTCCTCGTGCTGATGGTTCTCTGCTGATTGAAGCCAGGTTTGCTCAGGTGGAGCATGCACAAGTGGCTATGCGTGAAGGGGTGACTGTACAAGGTGTAGTGTACAAAGCGTCTACCTCCAAGGAAAGTGCTGAATTTGGGGATGTCAAGCATGTGCGGTTTACACTTATGCGTATGGTGGACAAGACCACTTTTTTGTCGGATCTTATGGAGTCCTTGTCGTACTTTGGTAAGGTACTGCAAGTGAAGAAGTTTACTCACCGTGGTTACTTTGAGGGTAAACTTTCGGTGATTTTGGATACTTCTGTTGGATTTCAGGTAGGGGATGAGTGGCAGGAGGCCAAGCCCCTAGATAGAATGCTCTATCTGAGCGAATTTGACTGTTTTGTGCCAGCGACTTATCAAGGTGCTCCACCTGTTTGTCATTTCTGTCAACACAGCGGTCATGTTCGCGCCAAATGTCCTGAATTGGCTAGACGTCGTTGCTTTAGGTGCAATAAGCAAGGGCACATGTGCGTTTTTGCCCTGAAAAGGAGGTTCAGTCTGCAAATTTCACCAAGAAGCACAAAGTTCACCATCATTCTGAGGATTCTGAGGATGTCACTCTGGCTCGTAAGAACACTGTGGAATTGATGGAATATATTGAGAAGGAAAAATTAGGCGTAGGTAAGGAGGTGGAGAAGGTAGAAGAAGAAGAACTCGATTATCGTGTAGTCGAGGATGAATCTCTTCAGGGTGAAAGTGTTGACGAATCTGAAAATGATGAGTCCACTGGTAACGAGGATTTGGATCTTCTGAGTGAAGATAACCACCAGGTAAGTATGAATGATGATGAGGACATGGAGGACGACAAGATTGTGCTTGCTGGAGCTCCCAAGAAGCTGGATACCGTGCGTGGTTCTGCCTACTCCAAGTATGCGTCTGCTGAGGTGGCTGTGAATATGAACATTGACTCGCCTGAGGAGATGTTGAATTTGACCAAGTTGAAGGATCTTGCTCAGCGCAAAAGAATGGAGTTCAATGCAAACCTGAAAGGTACTACTGGTGCTGGTGTAAAAGGTGATAACAAGCTGGGTAACTCTGGTGGTGTTTCTTCTGGTACTGGTGCTAAGGGTAACAAGTCTGGTGTTGCTTCTGGTGTTGCTTCCGGTGGTGTTTCTGGTGGTGTTTCTGGTGTTGTCAAGAATAGCAAGACTAATGGCCGTGCGCTTCTCAAGACTAAGCAAGACGCCCCGTAGGGCTCAATGAGTACAAAATTAGGCATCAAGATTGGCTCCTTGAACACGCGTAGCTTGTTCATGCAGTCTAATCCTACAAATTTCAAAGAGTTTTCATCTTATCTTCGCTCCTCCTCTCTCCATCTGGATATCCTTTGCTTGCAAGAGGTATCTCATTTCCGCTCTCAATCTACTCTTACTGAATCTCAAGTCCGTTCCTTTTCTTTTGCTTTTCCTAATTGTTCTCTCGTTGTGTCTAAACACTGTGCTATTATATGTCTTAATTCTCGGTTTTTCCCTGGTGGATACGGAGGTATTGTTGGATGAACGTGTCTTGTTGCATCTGTCGTAGATGCCTCAAGCAATGTTTTGTGCAAAGTGGCCAATATTTATGGTCCCGCGCAGTCTTTTGACCGTCCTTCATTTATCTCTGATTTTCTCTCTCTTTCTGTTTGGTCTGATGTGTTCAACACACCTTGGATGGTTATGGGTGATTTCAACATTCACTTGCACTCTTTGTCTACTTTCTCGTCAAGCCGATGTCGCTCCTTTTGTTCACTGGTTGCGTACTCACTTTGTCAATTGTCATCCGGATGGTTTAGCCACGTTTCCAAAGAGCAATACTTGTATTGATTACATCTTTGGTCACTCTTCTCTTGCTCCTCGTTTTGACTAATAGTCAGTTACTATATATGCCTAGTAGGTGGACGGATCACTCTCTTTTGACTGTTGAAATGTTGCCTGCGACAGCTAGTATTGGTCCTGGTAGTTGGCGGTTCAATCCAACTCTGCTTGATGATAAGGAATTTGTTGCGTTGTTGAATGCCACGGTGTCATTGTTTTTCTCTGGTGCTGTTGGTGTGGGTCTAAGGGTGTCAATACTAGTCAAGGTAGTAGTGGTGACTCTGAAAGCACGGTGGCTAGATGGGAATCCTTCAAGTTGTTACTAAAGTGCTGTGCACAAAAGTACACTAGAAGCATGAAAGCACGATTCAAGAACAAAGTTTTTACGCTTCAACTGGAACGTATTAGGGCTCTGTCGACGTCTGTATCGGGTATTGAGACTAGGAATGCTATTGATCCAACTGACAGAGTGTCTACTGCTTCAGGTGATGCTGAGCAGGTCAGGCAACTGGAAGTTTTGATTGAGAATCAGATACAGAAAGAGACTAGTCAGAATATGCCTCGCTCTGCCACTCGTTGGTTAGAACAGGGAGAACGTAGCAACAAGTATTTCTATCGTTCGATCAAAGGTGCGAGAGTCTCAACAGACAATTCAATCCTTAAAGTGCTCTACTACTGGGGATATCTTGGTGGAAGCAGCAGCTATCAACAGGGAGGCACAAGGTTTTTACCAACCGGCTATATACCCCTGATGCTGTCGATGCTGAAGCTATCGATACTCTCCCTGGGGAATGTTCCAACTGATGTACGCCTATCATCTTTGGATTGGTGATATGCTAATGGAACTTCCAACTCGCGATGTTTTGTTGTCTTTGCTCACTCATGCTCCCAAGTCTAAAAGTCCTGGTCTTGACGGTTTGCCTTTTGAATTGTATCAATATCTTGCTGGTGTTTCTACTGATTTTCTTGACTTGCTTGTGGATGTGTTGGGTGCAGCTTTTTCTGGTGTGTTTCCTCCTTCGTGGCAACAAACTCGTATGGTCTTATTGTTCAAGAAGGGTGACCCTCAGTTGTTGGTTAACTGGAGACCTTTGTCCTTAATTAACAGTGATGCCAAGTTATTTACAAAGCTCATTGCTAATCGTATGAACAAAGTGTTGCCAAAGTTAATCAACCCTTATCAAACTGGTTTTCTCCCTCATCGTCTGATCTCTGACAATGGCTGGTTAAATCAGTTGTTGATGTCTCACTTGCGTGTTGTTGCTCCTGATTTACCTCAAGTGGCTGTTTTGTTGGATCAAGAGAAGGCGTATGATCGGGTTCATCCTGAATATCTTTGTCGTGTGTTGCTCCGGTTTGGTTTTCCTGGTGAGTTGGTGTCTTGTCTGTCTTCTTTGTTCTTTGGAACCAAGATTTCAGTGTCTATCAATGGTTGGCTTGGTGCTCCTGTACCTCAATTGCGAGGTCTTCGTCAAGGTGATCCTCTCTCTCCATTGCTATTCAATCTGGCATTTGAGCCTTTGCTTCGTTCTCTTCTTGCTTGTCCTGGTCTTTCTGGTGTTACTCTGTCTCCTGTTGATATCCCACGTAAATGGAAGCCTTCACCGGTTGAAGTTCGTGTGGATCATGGTACTGGTGCCCGGAATTGGACTTTGGACTTTGTTAGTGGCTCTGTTGCTCCTCCTCCTGTCAAGATTCTGAGCTATGCGGATGATCTTGAGGTGTTTTTGTCTTCGCCAGAAGAGTGGTGTGTGTTGTTGTCTGTTCTTGATCTGTATGGCCGAGCATCTAATGCGAAAGTCAATATCAGCAAGACAGTGTTGGTGTCGTTGTCTGGTGTGTCCCACTCTGCTTGGGTTGCTTTGGCTGATTCTACTGGTCTCCAGTGGCATGACGCTCACTCTCGTGGTGCAGTACGTTACTTGGGTTATCCCTTGTATCATACTGAAAGTCAACTTCAAGACTATCTTGATGGTGTCTTGGTGAAGGTCCAGCGACACAGTAACTTGTTGAAACAAAGGAATCTCTCCATTAGGGGAGCAGGACTAGTGGCTAACTCGTTACTGTTGTCAAAGGTATATCATTTGTTGCGTGTTGTTCCTGGTGGTGCTACTACTGCGTCGTGGTTGAAGTCTCTCACTACGGTGGTTCGTGAGTATCTGGTGTCTTTTCGCCCTGGTGTTGCCTGGTCTACTTTGTGTCTTCCTCGCAAATTTGGTGGTGTTGGTCTCGTGGATATAGCAGATCAAAGCTTAGCTTTGCATCTTGTCTATTTGCAACGTTTGTTGCGTCCACCCTCTCCCAATGATTTTGTCTCCTCTTGGTTGGTGTATGCCTTTCAAGTTTACACTGGTCATAAGTCCATCTTGCCGTGGTTTTGTTTTCCTGGTCTTTACCAGTCTCGTGTGTCTTCTGTGCCTGTTCTAAACATCTCGGAAAGCTTCTGTTGAGATTGCCAAAGTTAGTTCCTTCCTCTGGTTGGTCTGCTAGGTGGTTTCTTGATCTTCCCTTGTGTTCTGTACTCAGTACTGTGCCTTCTGTTCGTCCTCCTCGTGATCCATCATCTCTTGATCCTCGTTTCTTGGTGTCGGATGTCTCTTTCTGGCAACCTGATCTAGGTATAGTTGATGGTGTCACCTCTCATCTTGCTTGGTCATCTCGTGTTTTGCGCCCTGTTTTTCTTGCTTTGAACCGTGATCGTGGTCCTGTCTCGCTGGTATTCCCGCCTGTCATGGATAGTAAGATAGTCTTGTCTCAAGCAGACTATTTTACTATGCCCCGTTCTGATGGTGCTACCTCTTGGATGCCAGATTGTACTCATTGGACTGTCTCCAACTCGTCTCGTTCTGCTGCTCCGGTTGCTCGTCTCTCTCTTGGTGCTTTGCGAAGGTATTGGCACCCTGCAAAGGGTACCATTACCTCTCGTATGGGTCCTCCCTTGAAGTTGCCTGCTCATTTGTTGCTGTCTCCTGCTTTGTGGCGTCTTTTCTGGTCCCTGGAATTGCCTGCAAAGGCTTTCACACCTTGGTGGCGATTGCTACATGACCGTGTCCCGCACCGCTCGTGGTGCCATAAGATTATGCCTACAAAGTTCTGTCTCCTGCTTGTGCTCTTTGCGGTTTCTCTACAGAGGACCTTTACCATTTCGTGGTGGGTTGCCATGTCAAGTCATTTTTCTGGCAGGATGTAGTCTCTTTGTTGTCACTTCAAGAGCTACTCCCCTCTGCTTCTTCTATTTGGTTGGCGCTGACTACCTTTTGTAGTGGTTCAGATTTGTTGGTGATCGATGAGGATGTTCTGATTGCTCTTGGTGCTGCTTACAGTACACTTTGGAAGTATCATTGGCGATGCGCCATAAACGAGGAGGAGCCTTGGATAGCTTCTGCTGCTATCAATATGGTCCGTCAAGACCATGGTACACTCCTTTCTTCTCTTTCTCTGGCAAGTGTTCAAGCTGGCACCTTGTCCTTGCCTGTAAATTCTGTATAGATTATAAACTTTAAAGCAATAAAGATACACTTTAATACAAAAAAATATATTTTGGAGTTTATAACTATAAAATTGATGTGGTACTAATGTGTTGACATGATTGATAGCTTCTTTCTTAGTAGTTGTAGTTTAGCCATGGGACATGCCGGCTACTGAAGTTGCATGAAGCGATATTGATAGGCATGAGAAGGTAATCGTGGTCAAGTTGATAGATTCATATCCTCACTCACCGATAAAGGAGTACGCATCTTCAATAAACAATACATATCAATGCCACTCTAGACAATTCATCTCCCAATAAGTAGAAAATAATATATATATCTCGTAATAAGAAAACTTGAGATAAGTCATCCATCCTATTCTTTATTTATACTTTATTGATTTTGGTTCACACTTGATTTGATCTCTTGTCATATGTGTGTTGCAGTGACTGTAAGTGCGATAATGATGATTGTAGCAAAAATTAAATGGACGACGTTTACTGACGTGAGTTCATTTTATTTTATAATATATAGTCTGTTTTATGAGTCATTCATCCATATTTATCTCTGAACAACCCACCCGGGGCTTTAATCGATCAAACCGATCAAACTATTGAACATTCTATATTGCTAGTTTCAGTATAATAATAGATGTATCAATCTTAATAATAATGTTAGAAGGTTGGAATTTTCTTTTCCCTTGGCAATAGACTTTAATAAGAGTATATTATATACAAATTGTAAGAAATGTGCTCTGGATGACAGTGGTAAAATATTTTAAACATGGAGTTATGTCCATATATGGATATTCATAATTGTATTGCTGTGGATGGTGGGTATAACTCTTTCATTGAAAAATAGAAAAAAAATGCTAATGAATATGGCTATGATCTTAGTTGGAATAAACAACACACTTACAAGAAAAAAATTGATAAAAACTCAATTGTTGGTGAATTTAGCTACCGTAAAGTAATAAGTTCGGCTCTGTTGTGCCAGAAGGGCTACAACTGTCTATAAAGATTAAGGTATTCTTGATGGGTAGATATGTCTGTGTTGTGCAACAACATGGACAAGCTATGATAAGTGAAGTGCATCTTAGCTATCTAAATACTGAGGTTCACCAGATGTGATAAGCGTTGTACAAGATAAATTGCTACTTTGGCATTCAGAACTTAGTATAAATAGAATAACTCTTGTATCAATAAATTTTTAGTTTTGGTGTCTGATCTTATTCAAATAAGTCTTTTCTTGTTTTTATAAATATCGACCATTTTTTATAAGCTACAAATAATAATCCTTTTATTCTTTGTGCTTAACAGGCTCATTTATATATGAAATAGAGAGCCAGTCTTCAGCATTAGCATCAAAATTCAAAATATAAAATAGTAATAAGGCAATTTGGTAATTGTTTCATAAAAAGATCTATATTCATCAATTTCGTATGGTATTTTATCAAAAAAATATGAAGAACTTAAAAAGAATAGAATAGAATTATCGTATATCATATGTTACGGTATATTGG